TATGACGATGGTGGTGACGATGATGATGCTGCTGCTGCTGCTGCTGCTGCTGCTGATGATGATGATGATGATGATGATGATGATGATGATGATGATGATGATGATGACGATGATGATGATGATGATGACTGCGGTTACGACTTGCGTTTTAGCCAAAAAACGGCTCTTGGTATTAGAACTGGTGTAGGTAAACTTGTTTCCATATGTTGCCATTAATTTGCAGAACCCATCTCGGGGTCGCAGTTGGATACAGCTTTGACAGTGATGCCGACGGAACGGGCAATCCCCTGCAAATGCAATGCGCCACGGTGCCGACAAGAGATAAGTCAGTTTATTAAGGGATTTCGGCTTTCGCCCCTGAGCTCAACATTCAATGATATGAGTTGGGGTATGACTAGGTGCTCCTATCATCTGCCACGTTCCTACAATAATAACTATTAGATCAGACGTCGTGACCACTTGAGGTCCGACGGCTTTCTCAGTTAGGATCACAGATAGGTAATTTCGGTGTTCACAGCCTAGCACCCGCGTCTCACTATCAGACACGTCGTTGCACTGTTTCCTACGACTCGGCCCCACCGCTATGCAGCATGCCGATTTGTGGCGCATACCCCAAAATTTGAAACATTTCTGCATTTTAGAGGGGCAGTCGGCGGCATAGTGCCATCCACCGCACTACAAACAGGCCGCCTTTAGCCCTCCAAGAAATGTTTCCCTCTGTGACGGCCGATTTTTCCTGATCTAAAACACCTGTACCTGGTTAAATCTGCGGTCACCCCTGTAGGAATATCAGGCATTATCAGATAACTTTCCTCAAATCCGCATTATGCATAGGATCACTAACGTTTGATTAGAACTCAGTCAACTTCCTCACGAAAGGCGGCACCATCGGCCTCATTTCTTGGTGTAAGCCGGTTGCCTACATTATGTGTCAATGACAGCCCTCAAGAACTCAAGTGCAGTGCAGCAAACTTTGCTGGCGACGTTCACCTCTGGAAAGTCATTAAGGACCCGAATTACCAGAAGAACCTTCAAAATAATCCTCGTTGACTGCAAACGTGGTCCGAGAAATGGCTTCTGTACCTCAGTGTGCAGAAGTGTGCCGTCCATCCTCTGCGGCCAGTCAACTGCCATTCAAATGAGAGCAGGAGGGTATATCTCCTGGAGGAAAATACTCTTCCCGCCGAATCTTTGCAGAACGCTCCCAGTGTATGGGCACAGTGTAACATGAAATCAGCACTGCAGTGCACCAAGACTGCAATAATGGTCATGGGAATACTCTTTGCGATCAGACGGTCGTTTGTAACCTTTGAGAAATAGGAGTCTTGGGAGAGTTAACGGCACGTTTGTTCATCCCCATCTAGAATGTAGCGTACAAGCGTGTTGGCCATGGCCAGTAAAGGAACAAACATGTCTTGAGAGAGTACAAGGCCGGACAACAATGTTGATAAAGAGTTTAAAGAACCAATCTTACATGGAAAGACTGAACTGCCTTAATTTATTCCGTCTGCGTTACACTGACAGATCTGATCCCTTTAATGGTTGTCGCTTGGAATATGACATAAATCAAAGACTGACACTAGAAAACACGTGCGCCACTGATTAGTGTTTTTTCAGCACACTGGCATGTTTATCGTAAAACTAAATACGCCCTGTCGCTTTCTGACATTGGGTTCAACAACATTGTTGCCTTAAAGTGCACCAAGTTTTGAATGTCAGTGCAAAGTCTGAAATTCACACAGGTACTTACTGTGTGTCCTGGTCTTAAGACGTATTGGTCGCGCGAGCTGCTTTGCACTGGCTAACCGGTTATTTAAGTAGTAGGCCTAAATACGCCATACTACGTCGTCAGCGTCATTCAGCTCCCTTTTGTTATAGACAACTTCTCGAACAGGCTAACAGTCCGGAACCAAACTGCGGACATATGCATCGTCGCCGTTGTCGCCTTGCAGGGTTACGTGGCGTAGACCTGAGATATGCAGCCCTTCCTGTTGAACTTGCTCAAAAGACAGCATTTTATTGCGTATCGACCATGCAGCGCAGCTCACCATCAAATGAGGAATTTTCACGGTGCTGTAACATGCACATCGGTAACAATCGGGAGATGGCACCCAAATATCCGTTGCCTAGGATTAATACCTACTATATCTATTTGAGGAGGTTATGGCCCTACGTATTTGTTGTTTCATCCGACCTCAGTTTCATCCGACCTGCAGTCCATATGCTGCCTTATTTTGATTATCATAGTCTCCAACAGTTGAGATGCGGTCGCTGTAGACCGAGTAATGGTTAATCAAACTTGACCAAGGTTTACATGACTGACGAGTGACAGCAGTAGTGGGGTTGCGGCTAAATCTAACCATGCATATCTTAGGAGTGTAGAGAAACGATCGCTGCGTCTGATCACAGGTGCTCAAATGCCTGGCGGGTTTCATAAAATGGTTTACGCCTACAGCACTTCCATCTGTTTACTTTTCATTCACCTCGCACATTTTTTGTTGCTTTACAGCGATGCAGTAAAACTTCATCGTTCGAAAAGCAATTTCCGAAATAAATCTTTCTATTATTGACATTTTTCCACGCATTCGAAGGCCCAATCCATAAAAACCCAATTACCACCAGTCCCGTAATACGTGCTGCATTGGTTGGGCGTATTTTTTGGGTGCCATCTCCCGATTGTCACCCGCACATCTGTCCTCTCAGTCTGCCTATGATGTCGACGTAAGTGGAAACCAATATCTACAGAAAAAAATAGGCGCCTTCAAGCAGACGATTCGAAAAACGATTGGATATGGGTTTTAAAGTTGATTGGCAAGAGAGGTTTGGTCAGGACCAGCCGGCGTTATGAGAATTGTTGTCCCATGAATAAAGCATGACAGTTATCCTAAAAAGCATTGTTGGATTGTCCGAAAAAACCGAATAGGCTTTTCAAGTTATTGTGACAATACCGAGAGGTGAAACCTGCATCGTCCATTAAGACGTCTGTGCGAGTGATTATGACGGTGACGTTCGACTTGATGGCCATGATGACGCAAGGGATGTGGATGGGACTGTCGCGGGGGAAGAATAATGAGGAATGCAGCGGTTGCTTGCCGGTGACGGGTGACCATGTGTATCCCCTACCCACTCTTCTCCATTACTAGACATGTAGAAATCCGAATCGACATGTCTCTCATCTTCCTCTTCGGGGAGCGCATCCGCTGGCAGGTCAAGGTTGACGTGCGCTGCTCGATTCTTAAAGATGAGTGATTTTTTAACTTTTAATTAGATTTCTTAACCTCTTGCATAGTTTATCAGTTGAATTTCGATAAAACCTTCAATTGTTCAACATTAATCGCCTGCACTTACCGTCGTGTATTGTTGTCTTATCAGCAGGCTGAAATATGCTGCCATAATATTTCACCCTACATGGACACAGTCCTGTTACATTCTACGGATACATACATCGAAAAATTTTCCTGTGAAAGTTTTAAAAATCACTATGTATTTTACGATAACTTTTCTCCATTGTCCACGGTTATTGTCGATTTAACAACCAGCGAGAGTACCCAACTCTCTCCTACTTCATCCTACAAAGCCTCATCGTTAAATGCAAATTTTGCTCACAGTTTTATTTCAGTACCTTTCAAATGGTCATTTGTTCCCTTCGTTATCAAATCAATCCCCAGCAATCCCCAGAAGTGCCTTCTCCTGGTCAGGTATGCAGCATGAAAACACTTTAAGCTTCCCAACGTTTGTGGATAAATCGACCGATTTAGCAACTTTGTTTACCCTTGTCACCATAGACTGCAGACCACCGAAACTTGAAGCAAGTAAGGCAATAGCATCGGCATAGTCGAGATCAGTCAGTCGGTGTCCGGGTGCAAACTCTACACCGTCACCTTCGTGTTGGGCCTTCCAGTGAATCCGATCAATAGCGTAGTTGAAAAAAATGGGCGACAGGATACAACCCTGTCGAACTCCAGACCGAATAGCAAACGGTTGGGAAAGACTGTTGCGGATCAGGAATCGTGCCGAAGGCGGGCGATAGTAGGCTTTGATTATGGTAATGAGTTGTGGCGGTACACCATCTAGTGTCATTATCCGCCATAAGGACTCATGATGGACAGAATCGAACGCGGCGGCAAAGTCGATGAAGCAGACGGCCGTCGGTTTTTGGTAGCCATGGCGGAATTCGAGAATGCGTCTCAGTGTGAATATCTGATCTGCGCATCCACGTCCAGCACGGAATCCGGCCTGGTTGTATCTCGGCCTCGAGTCATGCTCAGCCCCGAATGGTCTGAGTAGGAGAATACAGAAGATTTTTGCCGCAAAGCCGATGACTCTAATGCCGCGGTAATTTTTGGATCTTGCATTATTCCCCTTCTTGAGGATTGGTACAAGGATGCCTAGCCCCGGTCATCGGGGGAAGTTTGGCTTCTCCACGCTTGTTCAATCACCTCATGGAGCCAGGGCGCCAGAGTGTCAACACAATGTATTCGCTCTTCTACGGACCCTGTGTATATCACTCGCAGTGGTCGTCATGTACACTTTCCTGATCGGTCGGTCACTCATTTCCTTTAGACCTGTACACATCCTTCGGCGTCGTTTTCGTCGCCCTCCGGTCTCGGAGGGGGGTACTGTGCCAAGGCGCCAGACTAACTTGCCTTTCTCTACCTGTTTCTCTAGCCACTAGCCACCACAGGGTTTCATGACATACGAAATTGAACGCAGCGTCAAAGTCCATGAAGCAGACGGCAGTCAGTTGTTGGTAGTAAAGGCAAAATTCGAGAATGCGCCTCAGCGTGAATATCTGATCTGTGTATCCACGTCCAGCACGGAATCCGGCTTGGTTGGGCCTCGTCCTTGAGTCACGCACAGCCAGGAATCGTTTAAGAAGGACAATAGCGAAGATTTTCGCCGCAACGTCGATTAGGCTTATCCCGTGGTAGTTCTCGCATCTTGTATTATTCCCCTTCTTGAGTACAGGTACAAGGATGCCTAAGCCACAGTCATCAGGAACAACCTCATCTCGCCACGATTGTTCAATCACCTCATGGAGTTAGGGCGCCAGCGTTTCGACACAAAACCTGTAAATTTCATCGGGTACACCGTCCTCTCCGGGTGCCTTGGTGTTACGTAGCTTTCGTATAGCATCTGTGATTTCTCTTTCAGTTGGGGGGTCGCTTGACACTGCATAGGTTGGAGGTGGAAGAAACTGCGCTGGAGAGGAAAGCAAGGGCGTGATGTGTTGGGTATCGAATTTGGGATGGTGTTCGAAGTGCCCACGCCAGCAACCAATTTTGGTCGAGGTATTGGCAATAAAGTCGCCATTCACGTCGCAACATAGTCCGAAATCGACAAAAATCATGCAAGTAGATTTGCTGGCCACAAATAATTGTATTCTTCGACTGCGTTAACGCGCCTACGGTAGAAATGCATCATACTCAGCGCTCCATTGACATGCATGAAATAAATATCCGTAATAGCAATATTGACAAATCACACAGGTACTTGCCGTGTGTCGTGTTTCGGGTCTCGGTTCCGTAAGTTCTTTCACTCTTTGAAACTACGCGTTCCCGCATTACGCCCAAACTCCAGCTACCACGTCGTTGACGTTAGCAAACTCCATTTTGTGCCTCATGCGTCTCCCCAGACTGATTCGAACTGTGACAATCATTGATCGCTTCCGTGTTCCACTTACAAGGTCACGTGGTGTGAACGCGAAATGTGCTGACGATGGCAGCTGTGCCAGCGATGTGGAGACTCGGAGTTCATTAGGGCACTAACATTAACCCTAACCGTAGCCCTAATGTCCCCTCTATTAACGGAGGTGTCCTGCTTCGTATGTCACGCCTTAACGGTGAGCGAACTCACTCCAGTCTACGTTAAATGTCCTGCGTACCATCCCGTTTTCTGCAGTTTGGACTCTCTTCCCAGTTCTTTTGAGTAATTTTACTTCTTTGCAACTCTCATTTATGCCTACACTCAATGGGTGTGTTGCGATGTCGTCGCACAGTGTGGATTGGGGAAATTCCACCCGATGGTCAATTACGAATCCAATGTACCCCTCAGTTTTTTGGAAATTGCCAGACGGCCTCGGTCAAACAGAGAATACGGAATTTGCCGAGAACAGCAATGCCTGTATAGGGGGGGGGGGGGGAAGCGGCGTAGTGATGTAGATAGAGTTTTTTTCTGGACCTTGACTTAGTCCCCTTAGACTCCTAGCTTTTGCCGGTAATCTACCGGCACCATATCACTTAGCCTCCTTCGAACTTTAGTCCTCTTAGCCATTGAAAACTCCTGTATATGGCAAGTTGTGAATACGACGACTTCAGTGAATAATGTCCACACAACGTTAGCAGATAATGTTTGGCACTAATTAAAGCAAGCACCCTGCTGATATAACGATGGGGAGATCCGATGAGGATACCGGATATTTGATCAAGTGAGTCACGAAGACCATTGGAATCTGGTTGGTTAATCTACAACTGGCTTGACCGCTAAGAAGTTCTTAGCCGAAATGAAGTGATATGAATTTGGCTGTGTGCCAGATCACATGAATTACTTGGATAATAACTGAAATGAAGTATTTCAATAAAGGTATCATGCAAGGGTGTTTAACACCATATTCAAATATATTTTCTCAATCATTGCTCAACAGAATAGGGTTGTTTTAAAATTAAACTGTTACCTTGCTTTCATTCATTCATCTTTGCCGGTAATCTACCGGCATCATATCAGTTGGCCTCCTTCGAACTTTAATCCTATTAGCCATTGCAAACTGCCAATTCTTGGTTTCGATCATCCTAGTGACTCATCTCCAGGTGTGCCTTGCGAGTAATGTTTGACATTTATCGAAGCAACCACCGTGCTGCTATAACGATGGGGAGGTCCGATGAGGATATCGGATATTTGGTCAAGTAAATCACGAATAGTCTTGGAGTTTGATTGATTAATCTACATCTGGCTTGACTGCAAGAACTTCTTAGCGGAAATGACGTGATATGAATTTAGCCTTGTGGCAGATCACATGAATTATTTGGATGATAAGTGAAATGAGGTATTTCAATTAAGGTATTACGCATGGGTGTTTAGGACCATATTCAAATGTTTTTTTTTCACCATTGCTCAATAGAATAACTTAATTTTAAAAATAAACTTTAACCTGGCTTTCATCTATTTAACTTGAAGGTCCGCAAACATTTCAACAAACATTATATCTACATCTCAATAAATACTAGCAATGCTAGGAGTTTTAACAGTCAAAACGTACTTTTTGTAGGAATTTAGCTGGTGTTATGTCGGAAAGTGTTGCGGGGTCTTTTAACAAGTGTGGTTATTTAAAGTTCTCATTTGAACTTACTCGATGGGTAGACGCGTCTTAAACTGGCGCCTGAACTAGAATGGCGAGTATGTCTGGGTGAAAAAATGATTGCATGTTGTTCCCAATGCCTTATATTATAAGCTAACATTCATACGTGCCCGTTACTTAAACATATTGTGCAAAAGTCTTTAGAAAATAAAGTTCAAGGTGAAAGCAATGGTTGAATCTGCGGTCACCCTTTGAGGAAAATCACACATTATCAGATAACTTTCTCCAAATCTGCATTATGCATAGGATCACTGACGTTTGATTAGAACTCAGTCATCTTCCTTTCCAAAGGCGGCACCATCGGCCCCACTTCTTGGTGTGAGCCGGCTGCCTACAGTCTGTGTTCAAGTACAACCCCGTAAGGCGGTTGCCGGCATACGAGGCGTTCTTGACTGCATAAGCGCGCTTCAGGTTGATCTCAAAACAGCGTGTCCGTATCGGGGATGATATGTCAGACCTGGTGAACTGGTGTTCTACCAAGTCTCAGTTCTCGGACACTTACTTTTTATCATTTGTGTCAATGACAGCCTTCAAGAACTCAAGTGCAATGAAACAATCTTTGCTGACAAATTTCATCTCTGGTAAGTCCTTAAGGACACGAATGAGCAGAAGGCCCTTCAAAATAATCCTCGCTGACTGCAAACGTGGTCCGAGAAATGGCTTCTGGATTTCAGAGTACAGAAGTTTGCCGTCCTTCATCTGCGTCCAGTCAACTGCCATTCAAATGACAGCATGAGGGCATATCACCTGGAGGACAGTTCTCTTCCCGCTGAATCTTTGCAGACCGATCTCAGTGTATGTACACAGAGCAACATAAAATCAACACTGCAGTGCACCAAGGCTGCAAACTTGATCATGGGAGTACTCTATGCGATCAGACGGACGTTTTTAACCTTTACAAAGAAGATTCCGGGGATAGCTTACAGGGCATTTGTTTATTCCCACCTAGATTATGACGTACAAGCGTGTTGGCCATGACCAGCAAATGACCAAACATGTCTTGAGAGAGTCCAAGGCCGGACAAAAATGCCGATAAAAGGATTAAAGAACCAATCCTACATGAAAAGACTGAACTGCCTTAATTTATTCCGTCTGCGTTACACTAACAGATCTAAGTCTTTTAATGGTCGTCCAAATTGCTCCAGTATGTTAAGATGTCTTGGTTGGAATCTGACATAAATCAAAGACTAACACTAGAAAACACGTTCGCCACTGATCAGTGGTTTTTTCGACGTACTGACGTGTTTATCGTAAAACTAAATACGCCCTGTCGCTTACTGACATCGGGTTCATCAACATTGTTGCCTTAAAATGCACCAAGTTTCGAATGTCAGTGCCAAGTCTGAAATTCACACAGATACTGACTGTGTGTCCTGGTCTTAAGACGTAAAGGTCGCGCGAGCTGCTTTCCACTGGCTAATTGGGTATTTAAGTAGTAAGCCCAAATGCGCCATTTTACGTCGTCAGCATCATTCAGCTCCCTTGTGTTATAGACAACTTCTCGAACAGGCTAACAGGCCGGAACCAAACTGCGGACATATGCATAGCAGCAGTTGTCGCCTTGCAGGATTACGTGGCGTGGACCTGAAATATGCAGCCTTTACTGCTGAACTTGCTCAAAACACAGCATTTTATTGCGTATCGACCACGCAGCGCAGCTCACCATCAAATACTGAAATGAGGAATTTTCACAGTTCTTTAACACGCTCACCTGTGCTATTAGTATGCATATGATGTCGACATCAGTGGAAACCAATATCTTCAGCCAAACTAGGCGTCTTCAAGCAGACGATTCGAGAAACGACTGGATGTGGGTTTTAAAGTTGATTGGCCACAGAGGTTTATTCACGACCAACCGCCGTTATGCGAATTATTGTCCCATCAAGTAAGCATGACAGTTATCCTATAAAGCATCATCGGACTGCCCAAAAAAATCGGAATAATTCTGTAAGGCTTTGAAAGTTATGGTGACAATACCGAGAGGTGGAATCTGCATCGCCAACAAAGACGTCTGTGCGAGTGATGACGACGGTGAAGTTCGACTTGATGGCCACGATCACGCAGGGGATGTCGATCGGACTGTCGAGGGGAAGAGGAAGAATGAGAAATGCAGCGGTTGCTTTACCGGCGACGGGTGACCAAGTAAGTCTTCTACCCACTTTTCTCCATGGCATGTTACTATACATGTAGAAATCCGAATTGACATGTCCCTCACCTTCCTCTTTAGGGAGTGCATCCGCTGGCAGGTCAAGGTTGACGTGTGAGGCTCGATTCTTAAAGATGAGTGATTTTTTAACATTTAACTAGATTTCTTTACCTATTGCGTAGTTTGTCAGTTGAATTTCGATTAAACCTTCAATTGTTGAACATTAATCACCCGCACTTACCGTCGTGTAAGACAGAATAAATTGAAATCGGCAAAAGCCAACACCAAGATGATGACTCCTACTGTGCGTTTGATTAAGTCCTCAAAAACACTATTTGCGGTCTCAGCACGTCACGGCATAGTCCTTTCCGTAGAGAATTCGACTACTCTTGATGCTGAAATCCTTAAGCACACCAACACGCCTTGTATAAACACGCCTCTACCGACTCCTTCAGCAACCCCTACCAAGCCTAAGCATGTACCTAAGTCAAAGGCAAATCCAATTGCTGTCTCAGCCACTCGGAAACCCGATAAATCCAGCATCATTATAAAATCCTCTCCTCCACAATCGGATAACAGTTCTTCAAACACCCCGACTTAAAACGTAGATTAATTCCAACTGTCCCCAGCCCTCATATCGAAGCGGTTGGGCCGAATATGCCGACATTCCCGCCTTTTAATAGAACTCTTGCTCCAATGCAAGCAATGCGTCCCCCAACCCCTAACTTGTTTCCTCCGCGGCCGTTTTACCTCGTGCGAATGTCCATTCTGGGTCAGTTAACTCATCTGATCCTCAGTTTCGTTCCGGCGGGAATACATTGCAGTATTTGACCCGTGGAGTTCCAGCAGAAAATGGGTTAGCTAACAATGGTTACAAGTTTACCTGCCCGTCATTTCCTCCCCCGAGTCCTACCCCTTTTTATCCACGTCAGAATCTTCTGATGACACAATTTTTGCAGAACCGTATGGGTACACCCGGACCGTTTTCTCCGTGGGCAGCCAAGCACTGGACGACGTAGCCCACCTCCCTCAGAAACAAACAGCCTTTCCCCTCAAACTTTGTTGTTTTCAATGCCAGATCCTTGCTTAACAATATGCCATTGCTTCAGACTCTGGCGTTCGTCCATTGTCCAGATACTGTTTTAGTAATTGAGACGTTGGCATCAACCTTCGTAACTGACTCCGAACTCTCTATTCTAGGCTATACTTGCATTCGAAATGATCGCCAAGACAGCCGTGGTGGGGGCAGTTGCGTCTATGTTAAGCAATCAATTACATTTTTGCCGCTGGACCTCCCGCATTTTTCCGCAGAAGGCAGCTACTGGCTCCAAGTTGCACTAAAAAATAAGTTTTCTTTACTCGTTGGCTGTGTCTATCGCCCTTCCAACGCCAACGAAAATTTCGATCGTTTACTCTCACAGGCATTTCATGCTGCGCCCGACTCAAGCTTTAAGTATCAATTGGTCGCGGGTGACCTTAATCTCCCCGAAGTCCGCTGGTCTCCACCTTCAGGCCCCAGATGGCTCGAAGACTTTCTTGAGGCTGTGGATGTTTGGATGTGGACTCAGGTTGTCGATTTTCCACCCGAGGATCAAGCATTCTTGACCTGATTTTCTGTAGAGGCTGCATGCCATCGTCGGTGTCATCCCTAGGCCCACTGGGGGGCTCAGACCATGACATAGGTGTTTCAACGTTGGAATTCGAGGCTGCCAAAACGTCTTCCCCAAAGTATAACTTTTTCCGCAAATTCCGATCAACTCGCTCAACCGAATTATTAACACTCCTTAATTCCTACGACTGGACTGATTTCTTTCTTAGTTCCGATGTAAACGTTTGCACTGCAAAACTGTACGAAATGTTGGATCCGCCTATTTCTCATTTTGTCCCCCGTAAGAAAATTATTAATGCTGGGGATGAGGTTATCCTACCCTTACCCTTTAGTCGCAGATTGCGCAGACTTTATCGTCGATTCAATCTTCAGAACGATGTTTCTGTCTGGCCCTTGATTTGTGATATTTTTGAGCGGGCTAAGAGATTGTCTGAAGAAAAACAGCTAGCCGAATTGGTCCAGTTTACCGAAAACCATTCGTTAAATGTCTCGAAACTTTTCTCTAAAAAAATACGAACTCACCGAAAAACGCAGCAACCCATTCTCCGAGACGCTCTCAAAAATCCCATAGCTGATGCCCAGTTAACCGCTGATAGCTTCAATGATTTCCTGTCCAAAACGTTCATTGAAGACTCGACCACTCCGTTTCCGACCATCCAGCCATTGACCGGGGCAGTTCTAGAAACTATAACTTTCACTCTGTGCGTTTTCGTCAATCTTATAGTCCAGGACTTGATGGTGTCCCAGTAAGCATTTTAAAAGCCGATGCAAATACAATTTTCCCATCCCTCTTATGCAAGATATTTAATCTTGCTCTTGAAAGTGAAACTTATCCTACCTTGTGGAAGGAATCACACATTTTGCCCATTCCTAAGCACGGCAAATCTACGTCATTTGATGACTTTCGGCCAATAAACACCCTCCCGCAGTTTCGAAGATCTTAGAGACATTGATCAAAAATAAGGTGATGTGTCACTTAACAGAGAATAACCTTCTGAGTGTTGCTCAGCATGGATTCCTCAAAGCTCGGTCTTGTGACACCTGTCAACTCTCTTTCTTTGACTATGTTCTCCAATCTAGGGATAATGGTTTCGTACTTTACACAGTATATTTCGATTTCACTAAGGCTTTTGATCGTGTTGACCATGCTCTTCTTCTCTTGAAACTGTCCTCTTTTGGAAAAGGCGGCAAGATTTTAAATTTTATATCCTGTTACCTGTGCACTCGTACACAACGAGTTAAGATTTCCAATACTATCTCGAACCCCACACGTGTGAGGAGTGGAATCATTTAGGGTTGTTTATTCGGCCCGCTTTTATTTTGCCATTTTGTTAACGATGTACCTGAGGTATTTCAGAATGGTAAGCCTTTCATGTATGCCGATGATCTGAAAGTTGCTTATCGATATAAGCCGACAGATCTTGACACCGTGCTTGAACTCCTAAAGAGCGATCTACAGGCTTTTGCCCAGTGGTGCCGCACATGGCGCCTTTCTCTTTCTTGGCATAAATGCTCAGTCATGGTGGTTGGCGACGACCGCGAACCTCAACAAAGCATTAAAGGTCACGCCATAAATGTGCCTGGAAAATTAAGGATCTGGGCGTATCATACTCCAAGAGTCTCAATCTCTCGGAGCACTGTGTCCTGATAGTCTCCAAAGCACGTAGAACGACCGGGTTTATCCTCCGAAACTTTAAAACTAGGGACATTGCAATGTGCCTTTACAACATGTACGTTAGACCTGGTCTGCAATACTGTTCGTTTTTATTCAGCCTCATGCGTGCTATTGAGCGGAAGAGAGTTTTAACCCCGGAACACCGACATTTGTCTTACCAAGAACGTTGCCGGCTTACAGGCCTTGATCATTTATGGTTCTGTAGATTACAAAAGCGCCAATTTTTGTTATTTAAGATCTTATATAACCACACATTTAACCCACTCACCTCTTTTAGACATCATGTCCAC